TGCGGTGATCTTGGAGCCCAAATAAATCAAGTCTGTTACTGGTCTTTCATTGTACAGCATCCCAAAACAGCACAGATACTTCCATTTTGGAAGACTGAGCAAGAGAATCTCTCTTTCTTTCTCCAAACCTCCTCATCTCATCAGAACAAATACTGCAGCTGGTCACCTCTTGTTCAAAATATCTTACCTTCCTATCCCCAGCTCTGCCTACACCCAATTTAACATTGAGAAATTGAAGGGGGAGCATCAATGGAAGCTCGAAGGAAAAGTCCTACCTGCCATGGCTGTAACATCTGGGGCATCCGATGGTCTCCAACCTGCCTCCTCCTCCTCCTCAGTTGGGCAGAATAGGCAGCATTGAGGACCCAGGACATGGCCTGAATTGCTGTGAAAATACTGGAGCCATCCTCAGACAGGATTCTTGCAACCACATCATGGGGTGGCATTTCCCAGTTCATTTTTTCTAGGCATCTTTCTGAAACTTTCTTGGACAACATAGGCCTGGAATAGGAACACTGGAATGCTGCTTCCCCATATTGCTCAATAGTAGAGTAATATGACTTAACATCATAATATTGTGTCCTTTTATTTGTCTGAGTTAAGAAGGATAACAAAACATGTTTATGCTGGAGATCAAGCTCTTGGTAAAACCTTCTCACACTTACGTCTTGCAAAGTTGCTGCAAGCCACACTTTCCCCTCACATAAATTCACCATTTCAAGAAAATGTATGTGTAATACTAGTAATAATGTCCCCTGAATGTCTAATTGACAAACAATTATTTTTACTTTACGGTTGCTGAAACTTAGAAACACGTTTCGTTCTTCTGAGGATGGGATGTTTTTTCTGAACTTCACTGTTAAGATGCTTTGTGAGAAGGCAATGCAAACTCCGTTCTTTGTGGCTAAAGGTGCAAAATTTCTTCTGAACTTTTCCCCATTTTCATTGTCTGGAGCAGTGAGGCCGATCCACGTCCATCGGAAATGCAGGAGCAGCTTGACAATCGCCAAATGAGGAGGTTCTTGGTTAGGACTCATCCGGTAGAAAAAAGGAGAATGCTGTTTATGCTCCGGAATTGGGTTGAAAACACCATAATTGATCTAATAAAAAAAAAGAAAAAGTTGGTGGTCTGTCTCACATTTAATGAGAAAATCTAAGGGTTTTCACAGCTACTGAGCTAATGTTTTCAAAAAGCAATCGTTGCATAAAAGGTTCGATCTCCATTGATGATCTCTCTCCTGCTTGTGTCATCTCTGTTCATGTCCTTTCTGGCTAAGAAAAGCCTGTTCTCCTTGTGGTTGAGGTCCATGGTGACCCCTGACCAACAACCCCGACCCACCCAGGTTAGTCTGGGCTGATGCACATGGTGCTCAGTGGAGACCTTTTGGTGCCTGTAGGAGCCCCTACTCACTCTGTGGATCCCCTGTAGCTCTTAGCACACAACAGATCAGGGGCTGTAAGTGATCCAGGTGGTGGATAGGAGATTCTCAGTAAAGTAGGGGGTGAGCACTGTTTCCTAATCCCTTGGGAATTCACCCATTCGATTACTTTCTGAAAGCTGCCTAAACCCACTGCTCTAGCCATCTGTCCAAACTGACCTCCTCCTCCACTGCTACCCCCATCCCATCCTAGGGAAACAGACTGGTAAGTTTTTTTTTACTGGCAGGGAAATCTACCAATCTCTCCACTTTAACATTCTTCTCACTAAACTGTTGGGACAGCACCAGCCTCATGTTCAAAGCAGAGTGGAGGTCAACTCTGGGTATAGAGCAAATTAATCGTGACCTCCTTTGTGTCTAAAAGCACATTAAAGTGGCTGGCTGACTGTGCCCTTATCCTCTCAGTGCCTTTGTATTCTTGGAAAGTTTCCTTGCATCCACTTTATCCATACATGGTGTCATAGGCTGCTAATAGTTCTCTTGTCTTGCTTTTCATCCACTCATGAATTGCTTCCAGGCACAACTTTCTTGGTCTTCCTCTTCCTTCTGACCTATGAAGGATTCTTCCTTCATATCTTTCAGTGCTCATTCATTCTATGTCACAAACCCACCTGTATTGTATTACTCACTGAAGAATTCAGTCCACAGTCATTTTGCACCATGCATTCTGGATTCTCTCTTATCACATTCATTTGTTAGAGACCCATTCTGAATGGATTCCACTGACTTCTTTCTTTCTCCTGACATGCCCAATTCTCATTGTCATATAACAGTCTGAGCAGAATTATATTGGATCATTCTGGCAACAGACCAGATACCACTGTCTTATGACAAGTAGTCGTGGGCCTTAAAATTTCTCCATCCTTTTCTTGCTCTTTTCTGAACATTTTGACCAGATAGATCTATTTGTCTACTTGCTCTAGTTGTTTCTGAGAGGAAAGGCTCTTGGTTGTGAATCCAATTCATAACAGAAAAGGAGAAGGTCGTGAAGACAGTGTATTGTTTCCAAATTGTGTACCAATATCAGAAAGGTCAAAGTAATACAAGGGAAATGAACCTATTTCAGGTCTTTTAAGAGTGACCATCTGACTCCAACTTTCCTTGCTGCTATTCAGGAGTGCCCCCTTTTGGACTCATCTGGAGAATTTCCAAAGTAGACTTTGCTTCTATTTATATTCATACCTGTGGGATTTTGTAGATGCTCAGCATGGTTGAAATGTGATTAAAGAGGTCCGAATCAGTCCCTTCAAATATGGCCAAGATATTTTTTCTTCTTCCACAACTGTAGTTTGGGGTGTTCTCCTGCCCCATAGACAGAAAGCCCATCATGGCCTCATATGTTATGAGGGGGTTGAAATAGTTCTCATAGATGTTGTAGCCCAGGGAGATATTGTGGATCAGCCTAGGACTCTGATTGATCTCATGAGTGGCAAACAAGAAAGGCAAGGCGTGGCTGAAGCTCATACTCCTTATACTACAAGAGAAGAGATATCAGTAGGTTTTCCTCTTCACTTTATTAAGACATGTTTTATTTCCCACTGCTGTTACTTGAAAGACCTCTGGCACTGATCAATTCAAGTTTAGACTTAGAACCACCCTCGGGAAAGGCCCACAGCCTGAACCATGAATGGAATGAGGAGGAAATGGGACACCGTATAAATGTGCAAAGAAGCCCCATCCCTGGTAGCCTTTTGGAAAGCCCTGAAAATGTGGTTTTCCGGCAAGCTTGGCGATCCCTTAGGGCAGTGTTGTCCAAACTTGGCCACTTTAAGATGAGTGGACTTCAACTCCC